TTTTTAAAACTTTGAACAAAGATATCTCGACAACAACCTAATCAATTTCAATGAAAGAAATTTTATTTAAATTCTACAGATTCGTAGAATTCAAATTAAAAATTTTCCTCAAATTTGAACAGGTGGTCGTCGAGATAGCTTCGTTTAAAGTTTTAAAAATAATTCGGCGCATCTTGTATTTTGATTTTTCTTCGACTTTGAGTGAAGGTATCTCAACGACTACCTGGCTAATTTCGATAAAAAAAAATTTATTTGAATTCTACAAATTCGTAGAATTTTAAATAAAAAAGATTTTAATCAGGTTAATTAGGTGGTATTAAAAAAAATACATCTTTGACTTTTAAATTGTGTTACACAAATCGGATGATTATATATCACGTGAGGTTAAAATTTTTGGGATTGAACTGTGTAACTTCTAAATACAAACAAACCATATAGACTCCCATAAAAGGAAATTTTCTTATGAATTGCATTTAGGGAGGTTTGACTGTAATTGGGCATGCAAAAAATCCACAAGTTAAAGAAACGTAATTTAGGATATTGAAAATAAATGTCAATTTATAATAGAATTACATATATATTTGATCTACATAGCACATCAAGCACCCACAACTTGCTGTACATATGTGAATACACTTGTGGGCTGAGTATATTGTAAAATTTTTACGAAGAAAAAAAAAAGAAAAAAGACAATACCTAAAAATGACATAAAAATGACATAAAAATAGAAAGGCTAAAGTTTTGCCACCATGGTAGTGCTTTAAATGTTGATTCAAGCGCAAACCCGAAATTATCCGTGTTTACATATTTAGAAATCATAGCCAACTGTGGCATCCAACCGAATGCGAAATTTTGTGGACTAACATCCTTGAACATTGAACATATTGGTAAACCATACTCGCCGTTTTTACTTGCGGAAAACTTCGTTACTGGTATACCTAATTCGGGTTGAGCAATCGGAAACATGGCTGCCAATGAAATTTAAATTTCTAAAATTTTAAAAATAAAAATCTCTGTTCAAACGAACAAAATAATTAGGACAGTAATATGCTGTCAATTTTTGCACTACATCATATGTTAATAGATCAATGGACATCAGACATATTTATCAGTGTCTGGTAAAATTCTTCAGATATAGAGGCTGCCCAACCCTAACCTAATTATATTAATATCGTTGAGTAATTCTGATTCGTTTCCAATTATAGTCTCTTTTATATTTACTGTATTGCAGATAAGTATAGAACAAAAGTGCAAGAAAAACCTTATCGTAATGTAATGATGCATCAAATATAAAGTTATAAAGAAGTCACATTTGATATGCAGTCTTCGGAAACGTTTCATCCAACAATATACATTTTTATATTCATTATCATACGTATGTATTTGTTTACTAAAATTTACTAATCTCTTATAACTCAAAAAAAGAAAAAATGCCATAAAAATTCATTTCAAGCACCTTTAAAAAATCTTGCATTGTTATGCCGCTTCTAAATTACTATATGTTACATGTACAGTACATCATTTCAAAATTTAAGAATGGGTTAGGTCAATTTGGAATCGATCTAAATCATGAAATGAGCCAGAACATCTGCACGTTTTGACAGTGAAAAATGGTATAACACCAAAACTAGTCCAACAAGGGGCGCTACTAGACAAAAATCTAACACAAAGTCTACTAAATCTAATAAAATCTTCTCTCGACACCCTAACTGGTAACAGGAGCGACCATCAAGGTTACACAAAATGCAGATCACTTCCGAAATCTTTCCAACCAATCAAATTTAATGTCACATGATTATTAGCCAATCACAGTTGATAAAAAATTTTTTTGTGTGATTTTTGTACTTTTTAAAAAGCTTACGCAACCTATTTTTAAAATATAACGTGAAATATACTATGCAAGCTTTAAAGTATTTATCAAACTATTTCTTTTAAATTTCTATCCTGGTCGAATTATTCAACCTGAAGCTCCTAACCAACAAGCTACCATAAGTAACTTCAACGATTTATTACAATGCATGGCTTCTCAACAACCACAATTCTTTATCAATTTTATTCACCAAAATATAACCAATGACAACAATACCAATATATCATCTAATTATCTTTTATTCATTTTAAGAGATATCTT